CTGGCAAACATAATACCACCATTGGGTGATGTGTTACCACCCAGCGCTGCTTCAGACTGGATGGGAAATTCTGGGTGCCAAATATTCTTCGTCCTTCCACAACAACTGTTGAAGCACCCTTTAGCTCGGCACTTCAGCCCAAACTGCCAGTGTGAAAGTACTTAATGGCCCACAATGGGAAAACATTGTTTATAACTGTACAGCCATCAGGTATAAAGGTCCATAACTGTGTGACGTTGAAGCTGAGAAGCACAAAGAAAGTACATGCATGCCCAGCCATCCATCTAGGGATAAATAAATGTTATTATCTATTTCTTCATCTGAAGGTTGTTTTTTTCTTGCTGTCTGTTCTGATGGCACTAATATCTTGCCGTATATGTGAAGAATTGCTCTCAAAAAGCTTTTTTTTAACCTTGTTTTGGAGCAATGTTTACCTCTTCTGGAGAACTTGGATAGATGTACAGGATACTGTACTTAGATCAGTACATAAGTCATAATTTATTTTCTTGGTCCCCATGGTGTTTCCTCAATGCCTGTATTAATAAAAATGCCATCCATTCATTGTCAGTATGTGACTGTGGTTTTAGCAAATATTACTTTAGAAAGTACATTTGTAGGAAAGCAGACAGGCAGCAGGTTATCTCTGGGGAACTGTCAGTCTGTTTGGGTTGGCTGGTGGATGAATGTGGATTGTTTTGTGTCGTGTGTGTGTGTGTGTGTGTGTTTGTGCATGTTTAGAGCAAGTAGAGGCCTTTTCTTTTTTGATATTTGATGGAAAATGCTGTTTGCAGAATGCAAAGAGGTTATCTGTTGTAAGATTCATGAAAAGCTGTGTCTTTTTATCCACTAGCCCACACTGAAACTTATATTTACTCATATTTTGGTGAAAAAGCAAAGCAAAGTGTGTGACCTCGGCGCCGTATGCATCCTCTTGCACTACGGTTTCTTGTGTTTCTCGATGGGGGAAGTCTATGCATCGTTAATCAAGTCTGTCTCTCACAGCGGTGGGTTTTACTCAGTAGCGAGGATGGAGGGAGGAGAAGAGGGGGGCAGAGGAAGGAATTGAGGGGGAGAGAGAGAAAGAGAGAGATAGTCCCAGACTTGACCTTCCTCGGTGATGCTTGCAATAGCTGTGCGTCAGGCAGTGCTGCACCGCTGAGACACAGCCTGCTCCACAGTAACCAGAGGTTTCACAGGATTATCCTCGGGACGCCTCTGGAGAGGTTGTTGCTTGCTTTTACTTTTCAAACAATATTGCTTGCAATGCAATATTCGTTTAGATACTTCTTATGGTTGCATTTTTTCAATTAATTTTGTTGCCTCCCTGAGGGATTGACACCATGTGAATCGTAAAGCAGAAGGGAGAGCAAGTGAGCAATGAAATTCATGTATCTCTGTGCAGGGAAGCATTCATATGAACATGCCTTGGTACAGTCAGTGAAGTGCACTCAGGGCTAGCCTTGCCTCTTCTCACAGAGTGTCAATTAGGGAGGGATTTGAATGGACTGAAGTGGAGCCTACAGTGAGGTGTGTGTTTCAGAGAAGGAGACATGGAGTGGGGAAGGCAGGGATTCAGGAGTATAGACAGAAAGACAGACAGACAGGAAGAAACAAAAGGAAAGAGAGACAAAGAGACAGAACAACACAAGCTGTGAGCTTATTTATAGATTCACGTGTGTGCTTGAGTCTCTCTCAGTTCCTCCAGCGGGGCCTCACGCTGTGTTTCGTCCTCAGCATGACTGATTGATATGACTCATTTACTGGCTGCAGAAGGCTGTTAGGACCAACAGGCTGTGAAAAATTAAGATATCCTAATGAGAGGACCAGATAAGAAGCACAGCACAAGTTTGGATGATTCGATCTTATTATGACCATAAAATTCTGTCACTCCTAATGGATAATGTTACAAAAGCCCTCTCATTTAACAAGCACCCTTCCCTCCAGCTACAATAGATTGAGATGTAATTGAAACAATTAGAGGCGGAGGAGGTAGAGGGCTCGCTGGTCACAGTTAGGATAAAAAAGGCGACACAGAGAATTCTCCGGCATCCCTCTGTTTCTCTCAGCTCTCCAACTTGAATGACCTCTGAGTCAATTGTGCCGATTTTTGTTTCTGTTCCTCCATTTATTTTAATTGAATGAAAATATCAGTCTGCACAGCTCTCTTCTCATTAGTTTCAGGGGAGAAATCCATTTCTGGTCCACATACTTTGCTCTGTCCATCATACTGGAAACACTTTCAATTAAACATGACTCAATGCAATTCATGCTGCCGGCCAGCAATGATGGACTCCAGCTTGTTTATGTAAACATGTCAGCGGCTTCATCGCCAGCCTTTAAAGGGCGCCCACTCTCTTTGACCCCCTTGGCTGTGGTCACCCTGCTCTCGCCTCCTTTTAACGGCAGCATTTCAGCTTCATCCTGCTTTATTTTATTAGCTAATTGCACTCTGAGGCCTCCCCTGTATGGTGTTAACTGATTTAGACGGTGCAGTTTTCTTCAGCAAGGCTTTTTACAGGAAAACTGGGAGGTGAGCTAAAGAGTATCTTTCTGCTGAGTGAAGCCTCCGGCAGAGACATTTGCGTGGGCAAAATTCATTAATTTCCCAAACTGTGAAAATATAAGCATTAGCTTGATCCATGGGATTGAGTGTTGCACACCTTCGTTCTCTGCTCATCTCTGGAGGCGGCACTGTATATGTGAAGAGAGAATGTCCCCATAGCAACGCAAACTCAAACATAGTTCCAGTAGTTTGTTTGCAAAGACAGTAGAAGCAGGATGCTCGGGCCAACCACCAAACGTAAAACAAGAGCTTTACACTAAACACATCTCTGCCTCCGAGTCCTTCCCAGCACCGTGTGATGGTAGTGGAGAGACTCTTGAATCAGTCACAGCATGTCAGTGGCAGTCAGATGACCTCATCCTGCACTGCAAGATTTTTTCTTATTTTATTTCTGGCTCTGCCTAATTAATCTGGGCACTCTGGTTGGCTCCTGACAGCAGGCTTGTAAAGTAAGATTTGTGCACTGCTCATTATCATTGATGAAGTGGAGTGTCAGTGGTGCCAGGAAGCTCGGCTGGTTGGGGCTGATGTGGGTGAGCTGGTGGTAGGGAAGTCGTCAACCCAGTCACTCCTGTCTCCGCTCCGACAGTCCCACTCCCAGATTAATTGCTCCCAGACCACTTTTGCGGTTGAATTGAATTGTAATGATTCATAAGGAAGTGTAAAGTGTCTGATTGTACGTGGATGTGGAGACGGCCCGGATGATCTCTGGGGAATATCCTGCAGATTCAGTTGTTCAGCTTTTATATTGGAGCTGGTGGGGGGAAAAAGGAGGTTTTATTTATTTTCAGCTGGTGTTCTATTCTAAGTTTAGCTGCAGGAGTGAAATTCATTTTTAAACTTTGTATTACTGTTGGAATACAATTTATCCACATATTAACTACTGTACTGTAATGTTGTCCAGGATGCTACTAACACAGCCTTCCTCAACCAGATACTTTTCATTTAGAAGGTGGTCTTGAGAGTAGTAACTTGGTAAGTATAGGACCCATCTCATCATCTTGATTATCAGGAATTTCAATTTGTTAACCATTCATAGTGTTAATATTGTTCACTCTTACGGTGATTTGTAGGGTTCTATATGTCCCTGATAATGTACCTGATGTTTTTAAATACATTTTCCTCATATTCCACTAGGTCTTCGAAAGACTTTTATTGACCCTTCTGACATACTACTCATTACCAGTATACAGTACAATACCATTGAATATCGAACTTGAATTGTACAGCCATCTGTTTTGTGACACTTCTACATCTCAAGATTCATTTTGGTGCCAAATGACATGCTTTATTTACTTTTTTTTATATTTCATTTTTACCTTTTGATATGTTGGGGCGGACTTTGTATAACCCCTCCTTTGCTGCCATGATTCCTTACATTTTGTTTATTATTGTCTTTTAAAATAATATGTTAATGTGCCTGACATCTTGGCTTCAAATCTAGTATTTCTTTTCTTTATTAAATATTCATTACTAAATGTAGTAAGAGGCAATCATCGTTCAAAGAGTTTAACACTGAAAAACACAAGCAAATAAATTCAATAAACTAAACAGCATATTACATGGTGCTTAAAAAAATAAAATATATTTTAATACTATTAACATCCATTTACATGGATTAAAAACAGGTCAACCTTCTATTAAATTTGCCAGCTGGGATGGTAAAAGCAATGCCGAATGCAATGCCAATGTCAAAGCCTTCTTGTTGACTTGTAATTTCAAATGTAATTTAAGAAATGATCATGTTTGTTCCAAGGTATAAACTCCTCAGTATCAGGGGCCTGATCAGGTTTGATGTTGATCTAAAACGAAAGAATAGCCAGCATGGCTCGGCTTTAGAATCTGAGGCAGCGTAATAAGCTCAGGGGGAGTTAAAAGGTCTGTAGTACATGTAGATGATAAGTGCCTCACTGAGGTTTTCTGGTGGCACTGGCAATGACAAATATGGCCACACAAGGCTAAGGTGAAGAAGAGTGAATGTGAACAGATAGTGATATATAGAGTGGGATAGCCTCTATTTAGGTGGACCAGCCAGTTCATCTCAGACATATTGATCGGCACAATTTACTCTCTTTACTCAGAGGATTATGGCTCTGTAGAGTAATATAAAGGTTTCCTGACATGTCAATCAGCTGTCACAGCCAATTCCACCGAGCAGCCTTCAGCCTGTCACTGAGATGGGCTCACCAACTCCCCTACCAATCAGACAGGCTGCATGTCCATCACTAAGGGTTCTTGGAGGGCATAAACTCTCTTTTTTTCCACTTAGGTATGATATTGATACTGTGACTATCTAGCATCTGTCTTGTTTATTAAATCACCTCAGTGCCCACGACTGTCTACGTGGTTATCTTTACTCTGCTCTGGGCTCTTGTTTGCGTGCGTAACTTTGAGTGATTAGGACCAGTTTTTATGACCGATCAGCACTGTGTGGGAAGATGTGCTCAAGATGCATGTGTTGGTGGCCCTCTGTTTTCTTTCTGACCTCTGAAAATGACTCCTTTGGCAGAAAGTGTGCATGTAGGCAGGCCAGTGGCAGGACATTGATTCCATGGTTGGATTTATTGTTGAATCCCACCCTGGATGAGAGGCTCTGACCTTGCACATCTCAGGTGGGGAGAGCTGATGCCTTACTACCCATGGGCTGTAGTGAAGTTATTAAAAACTCCATTACGGCCATTCAAAGGTAGACATAACTCACAGTGCGGATATAGAGATGTCAAAACAGAGATTGATCTGAGAAAGAAGTGAAACCCAGAGAAAACTTAAGAAAGGGAGAAAGGACTGCCAGAGCTGAAATACTGAGCTTTAGACATCAGTCATAACCTGAATGGATCTCTCAGTTGTGCATCTATCAAATCCCTTTTCAATAACCCCTCTCTGTCACTGTGTAGATCCTGAAGGAGTTAAAGGATGAGGACTGGGACATGGGCAATATTGTCCACACACTGATCAACAGGCGCTATGGAGAGAAATGCATAGCCTATGCAGAATGTCATGATCAGGTAGGCTGATTTCTACAAGATCCTACTTCATAGTTTCAAAAGATGTTTGCTGTTGGTAATAAAACATAACCTTTCCAGGCTCTGGTTGGCGATAAATCTCTGGCCTTCTGGTTGATGGACAAGGAGATGTACACCAACATGAGCTCCACAAGTCCCATGACACCCGTCATTGATCGTGGCTTGCAGCTACATAAGATGATTCGCCTCCTCACTCATGCTCTGGGTGGAGAAGGCTATCTCAACTTCATTGGTGAGTCATGATGGTAACACAAAGAGAATCGAACCCTAGAATGACCTATAAATCATATTATATGCTAGAATAAATATCATTAGACATTAGTCATTGTATTGCCCTCGTTATCTGCAGTTCAATAAGTCCAATGGGATATTTTAGTGAAACAATGAATCCATTGGTAGTCCATTACTAATTCAAATCAGTGAGGATTTGCTACTTTTATATAATTTTAATATAAATGGTTTTTGAACCATTGGTCATGCAAAACAATTTACTGTTTTCTGGCTCCAAAAAAATTGTGATGTGCATTTTTGACATTTTATAGTGTAAATAATCAATTTAAAAAAAATTATTAAAAAGAATAATTGATTGATGAATCTGTAATAAAAATAATTGTTTGTTGCAGCCCTAATATATTATAAATATATTTTTGCATGGATGAATTTAATTTACACATATTCCAATTCAAGAAAAAAGAAAATAAATAAAATTTCACTTGCAAAAATGTAAAATGTAACATTGATTATCATGTCAGTAATCATGTATCAAATCACATATGACACAACATTTCAAACTATCACATTATATGTCATATATGTAATAAAATCATTGCTCAGGTCATATTAATATATAATTGTTCCGGGGGACATTGAACAATCAAGAGGCAATCAAGGTCATAATTGTGAAGCACTGTCCGTCTGTTTGGTTCATTTTTTATTAATAGAGGCGAGGGGGATCATTTCAGATCCCTCTCATGTACTGCATTCTTCCTGAATCAGAACTTCTTCCCTCAGGCTGACACAACAATCCCTGAGTGTTCACCAAACAGATAGAAACACGCATTTATTCTCCTGTCCGTCAAAGTCCTCCGCGGGCAACAGGCAGAAACAGGCTTCACTATAAATTTTTAATTGATGAGCTATTCCTACTATGTTCATTCGTGCTACTGTTAGGCAGTGTTAACTTTTGTGCTATAGTGTCATTTATTTTGTACATTTGATTATGTCATAGTCATGTTTTTTTTATATTCAGTGTAAGACTCAGAAACAGATTTTAAGTAAAGATATCCTAATTCATAAAGGCTTGAAATAGCTTGAAGTAGCCCTCGTTACTTATTTTCCATTTGGGATAAAGTGCTCAGTTATTAGATTTGTTATATTTCTTTCATGGATATATCTCTGGAGTAGCTCGTCACCAATGAGTCAAAGCTGACGATAAGCATCAAAGGAACCTTTTGAAGTGGGGTTGACATTAATACTCACTTTTCAGAGCTGATGGTGAAATACAGGACAAAAGCTGTCTAAGATCAGATAGGTTCCTTTTTTTCATATGGATCCAATTCTCAGTCACTGTTGAGATGCTCCTCATTTTCAACACATCTGAGCTATGGCTAACTTTATTGAGGCCTGCTGCTAAAGATAATAAAGTGATAATTAATGATGTTGGAAGTTGACCTTGGTTGAAGGGAATGTATTTCCTTGCATGCACCGCTTTCTGGCTTAATGAAGATAGAGTCTACACTTGTGATCCACAGCATTTTAGCTCCACCTGGTGACTAGGTGATCCGGTCAAGCTCTGAGTCCAAACAAAAAAAGTATTTCTGCAATGCCTCTGCTACATCTTCGGATTTACTGTCACTCAGTATTCACACACTAGAGGAAAAGGAGTGAAACACCCTGTGAATATCTGCTAAGTGGATTGATGTGTGGGGAGGAAAAGAAGCACAATCAAAGCAGCTGTTCTCGATGGACAATCATAACAGGGCAGCTCATAATGAACAGAATGTCAGAGAACTGACCACACGTGGGCAGTTGAAGGACAGTTGATAATTATATCTGATTCTCTGGCTAAAGTATAGCTAAAAGGCACACTCTGCTTTACTGTTGGTGCTTTTTCTCCCATGGATTTACTTATTTACTCTCGCCCCAATCAGTGAAGCATCAGAATCAACAAGAGTTGATATAATGAGTGAAAAAAAGTACTTAAAATGACTTGACAATGATTTGTGTACTCTGTAGTCCTACATATGTCTTTATACATGCTTCCCATTGGCCTGTGCCTTGTAAATCCTTAAGTTTGCATCATCAGTCAGTCTTTTCTTTGTATTATGAAATAGAGCATTTATATTTCTTTTTACATTTGAACTAGAGAGTGTGTTTCTAAATCCCTTCCAAGTCATCCACCTGCCTAATACAGTCAAAGTGGAAACGTGTCTCACATCACCTTGTAAAATCTACCCCTAATGGCGATCTTGCTTCTCGTCCTGCTGGCTGTGAGCAGTTTTCACCCTCCAGATGCAATTTGCTCCAGTTCAGACTGGAAGCCTTTTATTACCAATTTTACTGTAGGAAGTTATGGATACTATCACATTCTGATTGTGCTCCACTCCCTCAACGTAAACCTTTTATGCATCAGTTAAATTGTCAGATTTTGTTTCTAGGTGTTGGTGTCATACATTTTGAGAATGGACAAATTCTTCTGTAGTACTAGCAGAGCTGTTCTAGAAAACAGTAAAATAAAAGTAAAATAATACCTCCCTTCTCAAAATTATTTCTTAAGATTAGTACAAGGTAATTTTGTGTTGATTCTGGCGACCCCTGTGGACAAAAGTGGTAGTGTTTCCACTGCCTTGTAAAAGATCTTGATCTGGCATGCACATGCATTCATTCTGGAAGCGAGTGACAGAAAGACAGCTGTTTGCTGGATGCATAGCAATGAGGTAATGTATCTATTTATGGCTAATGTAAAATTAATCATTGTGACAATGGTGAAACTAAGTGAACTAGAGCTAAAGTTATCAACATTCGGGACTAATATTATGTCTCCATAATAATAAGCCAACAGCAAGATATAGCTTGTTAAGGCCGACATGAAATATTACCAATTAAGCAGGTTGTGTGGACTGTACACAGCCATTTACATTATATGCCAAGGTGCAAACTAACAGCTCTCTACTCTTCTTGCTCATGGTCTAGTTTACTTATGTAGGTCATATCAAGACATCAGTATTAAACTGAGACTTTTTCATAATCAGTTTAAAAACTCCTCATAGTAACAACTATGGCTAATTGTGTTCAATTTCCTCAAATCAAAGTCTGCAGAATTATTCAGACAAATAAGGCAAACGCACAATTCAAACTTTAGTTTACCCCATTCTGTCAAGTAATGCTCAGTGGTTTGAAGAGCACAGATATGGAAAGGAGAGTATTAAGGAGGCAGAGAAAGGAATATTGTTTTCCTTTGAGAACTTCTGTCTGGTTTACTAAAAAAATGGTGCTGTCATCTTTTGATAACAGTAATAATTAATGAAAGTTAAATGGTTTTTTTTCTGAAGAACACTATATCGAGAAAAAGTTTCAAAGTCTAGAAAGACACACAACCCTGAAGTTCATCCCTGAGAACTTTCCAAAGTTCAGGCCATCACGCGAGCATTTGGGAGATGCTCAAGAATAGGAAAATAAAAAGAAGAATCAAGTAGATCTGAGATGACATGCCGTGTCAATGGATCAATGAAGGGAGAGTAATTTAGTCAGTGCTGAGTAAGAGCAAATTGTTTGAGCAAGCAAATCAATTTGAAGTCCCTAGCCTAGAAAAACCCATTTATTTACTCATGACCAATAGCAAATACCACACAGCAAGAGGACAGAGGGAGCATCTGTATTTGAGATGCTGAGAGATGGATACTGTAAAGGATGTTGGAGTGTCAGTGACATTAAAGCACCAAGTGGCGTGGCAGTAATGAAACGCCTCAGTGGTTTTATCATTACATCAGCAGGGACAGAATGGAAGCGCTCGCACTTCCTGACTTTCAGGGCTCACAGAGACTTAAGATAACCTTGCAGATTTACAGTCTAAATTATTGAGCAAGAAACTTCTCCCAGCACTCCGTATTCATGGAGTACAATGCAACAGGCAACGATTATACTGCGGCCTTGGATGGTGAATTGAAAACCAGCACTTCCTCCTCATACATTTCAAATAGATAATCTCACTGAGAGCCTACTGTGCTTTCAGGCTTGTGGTTGTGGATGAACGAGGCAATCCCAACACTGCTGTTGGACCAGTAATGCTTATTTAATGTGCAAACTGGAAGTGGGAATGTACATTAACACAGTAACAAGAAATCAATCTAGCAAGTGCAAATAATCATTTCATCATGTCTGCAGCTTTTTTTTCTTGCACTGCATCTGAGACCTTCTGTGACTCTTGCTTTCCCATCCCCTCTGATTCCCTCATTGATCTGCCTTTGCCAGATTCCCTCCAATGGAAAACACATTGATCCTTGGCTCCTTCTTGTGCTGCTAATTACTGAGGGGACTGTGTCACTGTCAGGCCCTTATCTGATACTGGGCTGTGTAGAGGAGTAATGGGATGTGCCAGCTGAAAAGCTGTCTGACATAACCTTGTGTAAACATGGTTGCCCCCCATTAATCATATTGTTATTACCATAAATTTAAGTATTAATATTAACATTAAACTTTTAGTTAATTTTCCAACCTTTAGCATGGGTGGAAAATCTGCTTCTTGAAGAAAAAAAACTTATTTCTTATTTTGGTGTTTTACCCATCATTTTTATTAGTTATTATGATATTTTTGATATGATATAATTGCTGACATCTGGGGATGTTGAGACATTTCCAGAACAGACCAACAGAGCAATCTGCAATCTGATCATTAGATAATTTTAATATATAATTTAGATACTGCCTTTATAAAACCACACTCCACAACCATACTAAAAACATTGTGAGGCTATATGTGGTACTTTGCCTAGCTAAATGCTAACTTTAGTATGCTCACATTGACAATGCTAAAATTCAGATCTTAAGCAGGTGTATCTTAGTTTAGCGTGCTAGCAAGCTAACATTCGCTGGTCTGCACTAAACACAAAGTTAAGTTGAGGCTGATGGGAATGTCATTAGTTTTGCAGATATTCATACATAGTCATACACCAAAGTATTGGACACATTGAAACTTTGACCAGATGATGGCGCTGATTAAATTTCATCCTGAGG